GGTGGATTTGCCACTACCCATTAGACCACCTTAACCTCTCCTCCATGGTGTAAAGGTCAAGTACTTATCATGACTGTTGTCACTCTGCAGTATAGTTAGTCCATGTAAATTCTCTCTCATGGTTGCTATGGCCTCATTGGTTAATATTACTTTTTTCATATCTTGTTTGTGTATGTTTTCAGGGTGCTGTTGATGTCGTATGTGGTGGTCCACCATGCCAAGGCATTAGTGGCTACAACCGCAATAGAGAATTTGATGAACCATTTAAATGTGAAAAAAACAAGCAGATTATTGTCTTTATGGATATCATGCAATTTTTGAGGCCCAAATACGTCTACATGGAAAACGTCCTTGATATATTGAAATTTGCTGATGCAACACTTGCAAAATATGCTCTAAGTCGCCTAATTGGTATGCATTACCAAGCCAAACTAGGGATCATGGCTGCTGGATGTTACGGCCTTCCACAATTTAGGATGCGTGTATTTTTATTGGGCTGTCATCCTGAAGAGGCAAGTATGATTTTCTTGTATTTTATTAACTGGGACACTGGGAGCCAGCCCTATTGGAAAATCATGTTCTGATATTGGAAAATTACTTTATTGTTGCCTAATTACCATTTTTACTCTGTAGAAATTGCCCCCATTTCCTCTGCCTACACATGGAGCGATTGTGAAGAATAATGGCCCATTGGCTTTTGAGGTAACCATGAATTGATGAAATTCGGTCTGTGATAAGAAGATAGTGTGTATCCCACCTTAGAAATGCATTTGTATGGAACGATTTCAGTTCGCTCTTTGCATCTCACATTATTTACCTGTCAAAAATGAGGACGTGCTTTCTCTGGCATGCTTACTGCATTGTATGTTTACACTCGTTCTGTGTGTTGTATTCTGTTTTGCTTGTCCATCATCTGGGAATTTTCACCTGTTGATGCCTGCTATGATGTCTTTGTTTTTCCAACTAGGCAGAGTATTCAGACCTCCAGTGTGAACCTGACACATTTTTTTAATCTTGTAGCGTAATTTGGTTGGGTGGTCTGACAGCACATCAGTACAACTAGAGAAGCCAATTGTCCTTGAAGACATTCTTTCAGATCTTCCAAAAGTAATTGAAAATCTTATAAGAGTTCTTAAATCTCTAATTTTAGTAACCTTTTGGTTCATAAGCTGTTGTAAACTGTTAGGTGGGAAATGCAGAAGATCGTGATGAAATGCCATATGTAAAGGGCCCTCAAACGGAATTCCAAAGATACATTCGGACATTTAGTTCTGGTGGGTCTAATATTTTTCTATGCTTATATTCTGAAGATACTAATTGTTGAAATAGGAAATAGTGTAGGGTTGTTAGGCAAATCTGATAGACAGGTCTATAATGGACCTGTCTAACGCGCGATGGTGCACAACCATCCCCACACGACTACACTCTCAGGAGCTTAGGTTGGGACCCTTTGGTGGAAGGAGGGAGAGGGGGATATTTTTTTTGCATTGTATAGAACCGATTTTGTTCAGTACTAATGGTGGGGAAACTCAGGAAAAATAACAATTGAAAAATAACATAATTCAATTGAAAACTATTGATAACATAATTCAATCGAACCGATTCAAGTGTATTGTTTTGTTTTCCCAGTAGTTTAGGGTTTGGGTGTGTCCCTTAGGGTGTGTTTGGTTGATGCCCACACTAGCCCACCTACCAAATGTTGGCAAGAGTTTACTTGCCAAATTTTTGGCCAAGGAATCCCCCACCCTCAATTGACCATTTATTTGGTAAAAATCTGTGCAAGGAAGGGGTGGACATCCATCGGTAACCAAAATTTTGGAAACAAAGCAAACAGTGACCGAAATTTGATAGCCAGCCAATTTTTTGGCAGGGCTAGTGTGGGCAGCAAACCAAACAGACCCTTTCCTTGTACTGTATATTTGCCCTTTGGGTTGTTGGAATAAGCAGTCTCCATTTGAGCCTTTCTCCAGTATTGGCATGTTGGATGTCATAAACTAAATTTAGAAGGGTATCACATAATTTACTCCTTTTTATTTTCGCTGTAGTTTCCGTAATTTTTATTTAGTACCAAACCTTTCATAATTCTGTTTGAAACTCACATAAATTTCTTCCACTGCAGAAGTGCAGGGTCCCAAATCTCATGCCGCAAAAGCTAAGTCAAAAAAATCTAAGCCAAAATTGTATGACCATCGGCCGTTGGCACTGGGTCATGATAACTACTTAAGGGTTTTGCAAATTCCCAAGAAAAAGGTTTGCCGAGAAACTTATATGTTAGCATTTCATCTTTGATAAATCACCCCCTTCAATCTCACCAGTCCTATTCCAGGGAGCTAATTTTAGAGACCTTCCGGGAGTCATAGTTGGTCCTGACAATGTGGCTAAACTGGATCCAACAAAGGAAAGAGTACTTTTACCATCTGGTCGTCCTCTGGTAAGATGCTTAAGATACACCATACTTCTCTGTATGTGCAATTTAAAACTTGCCAGGTTGTGGTTTCATATTTTCATTTCAGGTGCTTGATTGTGTACTGACATACGAGGATGGTAGATGCTTAAGGTTGGTTTCAATTGATTTTAGTAGTACACTGCTGTTTCATAGATATGGTTTCTTGTTTCTGATTTAACTGTCTCTTGTATGATATATTGTAGACCTTTTGGTCGACTATGGTGGGATGAGGTAGTCGGAACTGTGCTGACGTGTCCAAATATTTGTATGCAGGTTACCTATGATTCCATCTTCTTTATTCACTTGGCTCATAACTTTAAAATATCTCATAAGAAACTAAGAGAATATGTTTCAGGCCTTGATACATCCTGCGCAGGACAGACTGCTCACTGTTCGTGAAAGTGCTCGATTGCAAGGTTTTCCTGATAGCTACAGGTTTCGTGGAACAGTCAAAGACAGGTACTTGTTTACATTGTTTCTGTAAGTTGTCACGTCAGGGTTGAGCGCTTCAATTTCTTGTAATACTCTATTCTGAGATAGTTGGAACCCATTACTTTTTTTCCCATCCATGCAGCCTTGCAACATCAGCAAGTCATGCATCCCCACTAAACTTATTTTCCTTCCATCTTCTTAAGCCACGTCATCAGGTCCACTAATTGCAATTGGCTTGCCAATCTTTAGGCAAGCCAAAAAATTGGCTACCAATTGGTTGGTCACCAACGTACTTAGCCAACCAAACTTACCAAAAATTGGCAAGATTTGAAATTGCCAAATGTATGACAAAATTTGACTCATATGCTTAATGCAGGGTCTTTTCCCCTTCCCTTTGCTGCATGCCTTATCTTCTCCCTCCCCATTGGTTGCACATATACCGCCCTCATCCTCGGCCTCGCTGCCCATAATCTCCTTGCCTCTGCGCAACGACACCGCCACCACTCTTTTCATATAGGTCATTTGTTGAGGCCGTCATATAGAATTCTCAGCATAGTCCATACGCCATACTCAATATGAATTCTAACTGTTTCTAATGATTTCCTGCAGCAACGTGTGGGGTATCTTTTAGTGTACATAAGATTATATGATATTTAGATAGTGGCCTGTAGCATAATGTTAACATGTGATGAGCCTGGCTGCAGGTATCGCCAGATTGGAAATGCTGTGGCCGTACCCGTTGGCCGTGCACTTGGGTATGCCTTGGCCATGGCCAACCTGAACAAGACTGGAAATGATCCCCTCATGGAGCTACCACCCAAGTTTGCATTCTCTCATATAGAAGGCACTCCTTAGTCAGACTGGCAAAACCTAACGGTTGACTTTTCCACCTGGGTTTAAGTCTCGTCATCTCCGTTCATTCTCCGCTAGAAAAGCTGGGTACCTCATGGTCGTGAATATCATTAGGACTCGTGAATATCGTTAGGGCATGCGCATTTTAACATAAGTCTTGATTCATTTTATTGCCATGTTGTACCTTGTAACATCTTAGTTTCTTAGAAGTTCCTGTAGGCAGGTGTAAGTTGCTCAGTATGGTTTGTCCTGAGAGAACCTTGTGTTGTACTGTAAAAGAATGTAGGTATCATAACTTTGTCACATACATTTGTTAGAAGCTCACATGGGCAGGTGTAGGTGGCTGCAGTGGATCTCCTCTGCCTTTGTTGTACTATAAAGACTATGTATGTATGTATGTATGTATAGACAAGCTGAGTGGTCAGGGGAATAAAATGTACACCTTCTGACGTGTTGGTGGTGTTCTATATATACTTGTATGTATTTTCCTGTGAGTGAATGTAAGAAACGCCTAAGAGCATCTTCAACAAGTGATGTAAAACTGGTTTCCTGGATTTTTTGCCTTTCTCTTTTACGTCTCAATTGCATACGCATTAAAACAGAACTTGATACGATAATTAAAACTCATGTCAAGAATCGAGATCTTTTGTTCTTTCTTCCTTTTTGGGTGCGATCTGATCAAGCCAATGGAAATACTCCAGGAACGAGAACCGATCGGTATGCCAACTAATCAGCCTCCAATAATTATCATGTTACCCGGATGGCCGGATGATACGATCCGATCCCGTGCATTGGGTCTTTGGGCATCGTCAGCACAGCAGTCGGGCTATAAGGATTCTAGTTTCGTTATAACCTGAGTTGATATCCCGCCCAAGCACGCCGCGTGCAGTTGACTCGCGCCTCCGCTGATCCGCTCCGCATCAAGAACCCAAGATCCAAGCTAGGCCACTGCGGAAGCCATGGATGATCCGCAGCAAGCAGAAATGGCTCCGCCGGAAGACGCGCCGGCCGGCGTCCCCGCGCATCCCCTGCCACACTCGGTGCGCGGCGTCTTCCTCAACTACATCGGTTACTGGCGGCCACGGTTCTTCGCCCGTCCCTCGGCGCGCCGCCCGGCGGTCGACTACGGTGACCTCGACTTCCTCCCCGACTATATAGCCGGGGGTACAACTCCATCCTGGACCACTGCAACGGGCTCTTGCTCTACGGCAACGCCTGGCTGTACTGCGTGGCCAACCCCGCCACGAGGCGGTGGGAGCGTCTCCCGCGCATGGACGCCAACGACTACGTCCCGTATCTCGTCTTCGACCCCGCCCTGTCGCGTGGCTACGAGGTGTTGCTGTTCCGCCGCGAGCCCGAGAAGCCCAAGAAGTTCGACCTCATTGAGTTTCTGTCTTTGCTGGATGACATGTCGGTCGGCGAGGAGGACGTAGAGAATGAGGGCCAAGATGAACCGGCTGGAGAACCTTCCATGGATGACTTGCATCGTTTGACGGAATGGCCACAGTCACAATGGACGCTGCCTGTGTTCTCATCGGCCACTGGAGAGTGGCAGGAGAGGTCATTTGTCCGGGAAGGAGAGGCTGTCAAGACGATGGCCAGTATGCAACTGGATGCGGTACAACCCATGGAATGGGGCCCAAGATGGCGCTACAGTGTGTATTGGCGAGGCGCGCTTTACGTCCATTGCCGTGGTGCATTTGTTGCAAGGTATGCATTCTAGATCGAAGTGCATAACTACAAAACTCCTTCAATTATAGTGTTGATATGTTTTTTTTACTAATTTATATAATCTTTTTTACTTTCTATTCATGGATTTTTTTATATCATCTATACTCCCTCCATTTCATAATGTAGTGCTTCCTCTATCCCCGTGCTTCAACTTTGACCGTAAATTTAACTATCAAGATCGATTGCGGCGGGAGCAAAAGTTATATCAGTGAATTCGTATTCGAAAGAAATTTTTAATTATGTAACTTTTTCTCCCGCCGCAGTCGGTCTCGTTTGTTAAATTTATGGTCAAAATTCGACCTCGGGAAGCACGGGCGCACTATATTTTGAAATGGAGGGAGTAATATTTTAGACTATTAACATATTTTAGCGAATAAACTTGTGTTTTGTAGGATATCTTTATCAGATGGTAAATACCGGGTATTTAATACACCAATAGATTTTGAGGAAAGCAAACATGCATGTCCTTATCTTGGGAAGTCGGAAAAAGGGGTGTACTTTGTGACAATTCACAAGTACAATAACCTTCTTCGTGTTTGGAACCTCAGTGAATCAAGCGGTCCAATAGATTGGGTACTAAAGCATACTATCGAGCTTGATGAATCTACTTTGTGGGCCGCGACGCGTTTCTACCAACACGAGATTAATGGACCTTGGATCTTAGAGGACAATAACAACGATGATGTGGAAAACAAGATGGTGCCGCTAAAAGAAGATATTGAATGGAACTCCGATGAGATAATGTAATGAGTAACCAAGGCGGTTGTGAAGAACCATACGGTCACATTTATTTCTTGGGTTTTCACCCGTACAAAGAGGTAATTTTCTTAGGGTTGTCATTTATAGGAGTGGCTTATCATTTGAATAGCTCGAAAGTCCAATACCTCGGAAAACTACGCCCAAAAGATTACTGCACAGCGTATTCAAATGGCATATATGAATCATTTATGTACACTCCATGCATGGTTGAGGAGCTTTCAAAGACTCCTCCATAATATGTACGCAAAGGTTACCATATGTGAACTGCAAATGGTTCAACAGTGCAAGAAAAAGTGTATCATAAAGTTCGAGTCTTATTTTCAGCCATGAATACCATATTATTTTATACATTCGCAATCTTCTGAGGTAGTTTGTCATCTGGTTATGTAATTTGTACTTTTTATGCATTTGAACCAACCAGTTGTCTTCTTGCATAGTTCTACCTTCTTTTGAGGGAGCATAATTCTACATGTAAGTACTGCAAAGTGTAGAAATATATGTACTGGTTACATATGTCTTACTTCCCCCACGCTCTTCGATCACTTCTGGGCATGCAAAAGTAGTCCCGTGCTTTTAAATCGTGTCAAATTTTGCACCATGTTAATCATCATAATATAGTTCTATATCAGTTGCATGTGAAAAGGCATTCATCAATGGTAATATCAATGAAGAACTATGTGTCAAACAACCCCCTTTTGAAGGCCACAAGCATCCTGACAGAGTGTATAGGCTTCACAAAGTCCTTTATGGGCTCAAGAAAGCTCCTTGAGCTTGGTATGATACACTCAAGAAGTTTTTGGAAAAGAAGGGCTTCAAACTAGGAGCCAATGATTCCACTCTCTTCACCAAATCTTATGATGGTGATCTATTCACGTGTTAATATATGTGGATGATATTATTTTTGACAGTACTAACTCTCATTACAATGAATAATTTGCAAATTAATAGCCGAAAATATCAAACATCCATGATGGGGGAACTAAAAATATTCTGATTCCAAGTTCATCAAAAACGGAATGACATCTTTATCTCTCAGGAAAAATACCTCAAAGCCGCTTGAAGAAATGTTTCATGGAAAATTGGGAAGACATCAAGACTCCAATGCCAACACATGGACACCTTGACTCCCAAGATAATGATAAACCATTCAACAAAAAGGTATATTGCTCCATTGGCTTTCCGTTGTATCTGTGTGCATCTAGGCCCAACATTTTGCTTAGTATTTGCATGTGTGCACGGAGGGTGAAGAAAACCAGAGATTCAAATCTTCACCCTCCTATGATCACATATCCTTGTCCTGATGACGCTCATCCTGCTAATGTGCTTCGTGAAGGAAATATGCCCTAGAGGCAATAATAAAGCTATTATTTATTTCCTTATATCATGATAAATGTTTATTATTCATGCTAGAATTGCATTAACCGGAAACATAATACATGTGTGAATACATAGACAAACAGAGAGTCACTAGTATGCCTCTACTTGACTAGCTCGTTAATCAAAGATGGTTATGTTTCCTAACCATAGACATGAGTTGTCATTTGATTAACGGGATCACATCATTATGAGAGTAATGTGATTGACTTGACCCATTCTGTTAGCTTAGCACTTGATCGTTTAGTTTGTTGCTATTGCTTTCTTCATAACTTATACATGTTCCTATGACTATGAGATTATGCAACTCCCGTTTACCGGAGGAACACTTTGTGTGCTACCAAACGTCAGAACATAACTGGGTGATTATAAAGGTGCTCTACAGGTGTCTCCGAAGGTACTTGTTGGGTTGGCGTATTTCGAGATTAGGATTTGTCACTCCGATTGTCGGAGAGGTATCTCTGGGCCCTCTCGGTAATGCACATCACTCAAGCCTTGCAAGCATTGCAACTAATTAGTTGCAGGATGATGTATTATGGAACGAGTAAAGAGACTTGCCGGTAACGAGATTGAACTAGGTATTGAGATATCGACGATCGAATCTCGGGCAAGTAACATACCGATGACAAAGGGAACAACGTATGTTGTTATGCGGTCTGACCGATAAAGATCTTCGTAGAATATGTAGGAGCCAATATGAGCATCCAGGTTCCGCTATTGGTTATTGACCGGAGACGTGTCTCAGTCATGTCTACATAGTTCTCGAACCCGTAGGGTCCGCACGCTTAAAGTTCGGTGACGATCGTAATTAGGGTTTTTGTGTTTTGATGTACCGAAGGTTGTTCGGAGTCCCGGATGTGATCACGGACATGACGAGGAGTCTCGAAATGGTCGAGA